GGCACATCACCATCACATTTTCCGTAAGTTTCAAAACTCATAATTAAAAGTGCTAGCTGCTGTCCATGTAATAATAATAGTGCTGATGACGTGATGCACTGTCGGGGTTTCATGTTCTTCCTCAATCCATGCATCTGTTCGATCTGGTTCAAAGAACTTGCATGATTCAATAAGAGAGGGAGGGGAGATGTTGAATTGGTACGCTCATGAGATTGCCACACACTAGTAGAGAACAGACCTTTGATCCAAGGGCTAAACCAGGCTCTAGTCCGGGAAATATTGCGCCCAGGACTAGAGAGACCTTTAGTCCCGGTTGGTGGCTCCAACCGGGACTAAAGGTCCCTGCCCAACGGCTCCTGCGCCAGGCCGTTGTGGCAGGGGACCTTTAGTCCCGGTTGGAGCCACCAACCGGGACTAAAGATCGACCTTTATTCCCAGTTGGTGCCTCCAACCGAGAGTAAAGCTCTTGTCCCGGCTAGTGGCGTGGCCCGGGACCAGAAAGTGATCTTTAGTCCCGGTTGGATCCACCAACTGGTACTAAAGGTCCCCCTATAAATCCTGCTGGCAGTCTTCTTCCTCCCCGAGCCCGTCCGAGAGCTTCAGTTCAAATTTAAGCAGTGTTCTTGCTCTTTCTCCATCCATTCTTCGATTCCTCCGTCGATTTCTTCGATTCCTCCGTCGATTCTTCGGTTCTAAAGGTTACCAACTTCATGCTCTCATGTTTCACCATTGTCTTATCTTATTTTGTTCACTATATATATATGGTTTTTATTGTGGTTTTTTCATTTGTAAGCAATTTGAGCTCAAAATTATTTCAAGCTTGCATATTTACATGAAGGAAGGTTAAAGTAGCTATTAAAAACTAGTATTCACCGTTCATTTGTAGCATGCATAGCACACTTCATTGTTTAGAGATATAGAGAATTTTACAGTTTTTTTAATTTTATTTGTTTATAAAATGAGAAATTTATAGTGTATTAAAAATGAGTATAGAGAGTAGATGGCAACTGCTTCCGGGTCCTCGGCTTCTCATGGGTTTCCAAAGCGACTTAGGCCAGGCCTCCCACTCATTGCATGCGGCAAGTGTTGTGATGAGACGAAGATTGTGATGGAGTACCGAGTGAAGAAGGAGGGTCCCAACAAGGATCGCATTTTCTACAAGTGTTCAGATCACAATGTGAGTTATTTTATCGTATTTAATGACTATGGTTAGTTTATACCTATTTTCATGATGGTTGTGATTAAAGTTCTAATTTTCTGTTTTAATTTCAGTGGGATGGCACTGGATGTTCAGGCTTCTACTAGGAGGAAGAGTATGTTGAACTCGTGCAAAAATATCTTGCACAACAGGCAGATATGGCGGCTAATGAGGCAGTGATCCAGCCGAAGAAGCCCAAAGATGTTGAACAAACGGGGGATCTGTCTGTTTTAGTTGGGATTGGTCGCGAAATCATTGTGCTGCTGAAGTGCATTTTAGCTTTAGTGTTTTTAGTGGTAGTTGGGATTGTCTACATTGTAGCGAGGCTTTCTGAAATTTATAGCTTTTGTGGTGGTATGCATGTTGTATAACTAACTAATTATGTTCTAGGTTTTAATACGGTATTTATGTCATGTAATACAGATGAGTCGGCATTGGATGTACAATGCTGATCGTCGCTCCCAAGAGTTCATGGACGGCGTGCATTCTTTGTTAACGAATATAGTTTAAACTTAAACTTAGTGGAGGAGGTAGGCGGCTATGAGTCGTTTCTTCGATTTTATGAGGACACTGGTTTGAACCTTGTCGAAGTGCTCGCTGAAGGACCATCTGCTCCGGAAGTGGATCCTTACAAGAAATTTGTACCAGGCCAGAGTCTATACAACCTAGAGAAATTAGGTGAACTGGGTACGCAAATGTACCTGCTAAACGGATGGTACATATCGGCGTCTGATGCGGGACAAATCTATCTTTCTGTCAGAATTAGAAACCACCATTACTTCCGTGGCAATGACATTATCTATGTCGAGCTTCCAGAATTACACCAACTATGTCACCTAGACTCTCTCGACAAAAGTCTCATTAGCTGCTATTGTCTGTAAGTGTGATTATTTTCTACTATATTCACAATTTCTTTATTATATATTCACAATTTTCATGTATGCAGATATGAGATAACAGAACTTAGAAAGAGAAAGGATAATGATGTTGGGTTCGTTGATCCGTATGTCGTATACAAACACCCTAACCCCCCGAAGGATTATAAGCCTCAACCTGAGAGAAATCTCATGAATTTCTTAGTGAACCAATGCGACAAGAAGGAGATACTTTTCCCCTACAACTTCAAGTGAGTGTTATTATAAATGTCGATCATATATATGGGACATCAATATTTCCTTACTAGCTAGTTACCTCTCTCTCTCTCTCTCACACACACACACACACACACACACACACATATATATATATATATATATATATATATATATATATATATATATATATATATATATATATATATATATATATATATATATGTTTATGTTTATGTAGCAATCACTGGATATTGATGGTCATCGATATGGCCAATAGTAAATTGAAAATCTTAGACTCGTTGAGAAAACCGCAAACGGAGTATCAAGACATGATATATATTATACAAGGGTAATTAATTTAGTTTCTCTATAACAACATATATATATAATGGCGCCGATCTCTCAACAATTATTAAAGGTTAAATTATTTTTTATTTTATTGGGAGCAGGATTTGAAAAAGGTTTATTGAGGAAAAAAATGAAACATTGCAAAGCGCCGCTGGGTGTAATCGCACACAAAGTAAGTACTATAACTACACATTTATATTCAATTAACACCATATGATGATTTCAATTCACCCTAATTTATTTTTTTGTCGTAAAAGTGGGTTCTAAGGCAGGAGCAGGGTAACAACTACTGCGGATACTATGTTTGTGAGTTCATCATGGCATACTCAAAGAGAACTCCTGAAGAGCAACTCAAAGTACGTATATAAATATTTTTTCCTTTATATTATTTCGATCGTATATTTACAATTTCTTTATTGCTCTTATTTGTATAAATAATTACATGAGCAATACACATACATATATATATATATATATATTAATACTTTTTCCTTTAACTTTTATTGAAGACTGAATGGTTGAGAAAAAGAGCCATACGACTTGACCAACTTAAAGCAATTCGAGAGACTATAGCAGGATTTCTAAATGACCAGGTCATCAATCCCAACGACGAGTTCTACAATGACCCGAACGAAATGTGGATGCCTGGAGGAGTGAATTGCTAAGGACATAAACAATTTATATATCAAACCTTTGTAATATATATATATATATATATGTATGCACATATTATTTGTACATAAAATAACGTGTGTATGTATATGATCATCATATATATATGCATGTACGCGTATATTCGTTTGTTATTTATGTACAAAGTTCGAACGAAAACTTACGCGTGCGAAGTACACATATATATTACTATTAGCAGTGTATTCGAAAATGTATTTTAATATCAAAACTAATCATTAAATAAAAAAAGAAACCAAAAATAGAAACCAAAAAAAGAAAAAAAAAAGAGGGACATTTAGTCCCGGTTAGTAACATCAACCGGGACTAAAGGTCCTGCCCCGTGACGGTTCCTGACCAGGCTTGGAGGGTCCAACCGGGATTAAAGGTCGGACGTCGAGTCGGGACTAAAGGATGGTACCTTTAGTCCTGAATTGGTGCTCCCGGTTGAGAAACCGAGACTAAAGGAGTTTCTCAACCGGGAGAAAAAAAAAAAAAAAACCTTGCTGCACCAGTGACATGGACACATGACCGATCGTGAGCAAAAGCGTGTAACTCGTTGTCCTCCTCTCGCACTGTGGGCTACCTAGCTTCTGCGTTTTTGGGCACACTGCACATGCGTAGGACCCCCTCAGCACGATGCCACGATTCCTGGCCGCTCCGATGCATGATACTATGTGTGAACCAGTTGCGTGTTTCTTTCTTTTATTATGAGACCACGTTTTGAACAACATGCATCTCCGCAGTCATTATATATATTAATCTTCACACACTACGTTAAATATCATTTTTAGGGACGGCTACAGTGCATTTGTAGGGGTGGTTCGGCCAGCCGCCCCTACACAAGGGTCTCTATAAATCATGCATTTGTAGGGGCGGTTCCCGGACCGCCCCTACAAATCGATTTGTAAGAACGGTTGGTACTGTAGCCGTCTCTACAAATCGATTTGTAGGGACAGTTGGTACTGTAGCCGCCCCTACAAATCGATTTATAGGGGTGGTCTGGGAACACCAGCCGCCCCTACAAATCGATTTGTAGGGGCGGCTACAGTACCAACCGCTCATACATATCATTTTTCCACCAAAAAAAATTTAAATTTACAATTCAAATTGGACCAGAACATATATTTTTCAATTAGCATTAAAGATAAACAAGATCACTAAATTCGTATGGTAATATTTTAGAGCAAATCAATTGAGACCTATGGACTACAGGAAGTAGTAAAAGATTCACTGTACAGTTATGTAGAAGTTTACATGAGCTCTCTAGTCAGATGCGATATTATGCATCAAAATAACAGCATATGGCCAGGTAATCAAGGTCCTATTCTCTTGAGAACTAGCACGCATTTCCAACATATGGGTTTTTCAAGAGAACTATAAACTCAAGATACAAATCAGGAAGGAACTGATCTTATCCAAACTATAAACATGGCATAGTTTCAGTCTTGCAAGTCATATTACCTGCATAAATATTGATACTGTGAGGAGTGGCTTGTCTCCCACCTTTAGACGTCTAGCCTGCAAAAGGAAAAAACCAACTCAATAAGCAAAGCAAAGACAGGAAGAGAAGAGAATTTGATCGGCCGGAGCAATGCAAACAAAGGTAGGTTCTTATCTTACTGGAAGAGAAGAGAATTTGATGCCCAGAAATCGGCCGCCGGCCGGAGCAATGCAAACAAAGCTAGTGGCTAGTGCCTAGCATTTATCGTGAAGAAGTCGGTGCTGCGCATGGCCCAGAAGAAGATGACGATCATGACGGCGAGGTAGGTGCCGTAGAAGACGCCCGTGACGAAGATCTCGTTCAGCTTGCAGCTGTCTGGATGCGGAGACGGCCTCACCCTGTCCTTGGAGATGGTCATGATCGTGCCTGCATTTTTTCATCAAAAGCAAGCAACAAGTGCCATGCTTCAGCTTACCAATGGAGTGTTTAAATGGTTCCGAGTCTGTCAGAGTTTTTCAAACCCACCGTCGTTGAGGATGGCAATGACCAGGATCATGAACGGCAAGAAATCAAACTTCTAGATCAGCGCGATCAGCATGAACCCGAGCTGCATATATATTCCCATCACCAGAGCTTGTGGTTTTCATGGACAAACCCAACAGGGGAGCAAAGTCCATATAAAAAATGGTTGACAAAGTGAACTTACCACAACACGGATTGTTATCGACACTGCGTAAATCTGACAAAAGAAGAAAGTTTCAGTCCAAAAAAAACTGCTGAACTACTGCTGTTGGTTGTCAGATCAGATGGATGTGGCACGTGCTTATGGTATAGTTCTTCATCCTCTGGAAAATGGAACGGCTGGTGAGCACGGCACTAATGATGACGCTGAGCAATATGTAGAAACAATCATATTCCAAGGAAACAAGAAATTTCCATCTAGTAAGTTTAACTACTTAACTAATAATAATTATTAAATTAAAAGCATATTCTAACCGTTAGATTGACTTTAAAAGAGATGATACTATACTGCAAATTTGGGTTCAACATGCAAAAATCAACATCATAAGAGACAGACATTCTAAAGAATAATATTTGCATTTACCTTTGCACTTAATTCAACAAAAGGATTGACTCTTCTAATGTAGGACACTAAATGGATTTATGCCCCTTCTAGAATTGAAAGGAACACAGTGTCCACTCCTAAATACGAAAAGAAAATGCATCTTATACACTATTACCACCATCCTTTGGTGAAAGGCTTTCCTGGAAGAAAGTTGAAGATGAGTTGTAAGGAACATATCTCTCATCTTTTCGCTGGACAATGGATGTTGATGCTCGCTGGTAGAGATCACCCCACCGCTTGCAGCCGCAGCTCCACCCGGAATGTGGCTCCGCCCGCCTTAGCTTTGCCCGGCATCTGGCAAAGGAGGAGGTGCTGAGGACAATGATTATCCATTCCGAACAGTTGGAATGAAACACAGACTGCATAGGAATGATCTTGTTCAATTTATAAAGCCCAAGGGCATACCACTGATCTTTGATTGATGAAGCCCGGCACAAACAAACAGACGACTATTCCTATAAAGAAATACATGTAAACAAAAGGCTAGTTTACTTTTGCAGCCAAAATAGCAGTAGCCGGCCGCAAGAAGCTGCATTTTCTTAGGCAATTTAAGTGTCATTTATTAGGCAATAATGTCTTCTTAAAGCAAGTATAGCGTCTGTGTCATTTGCAACCCACAGCCCCCCAGATGACTCATCGATCAAGTATTGTATAACTAAATTCGCAAGTAAAGTCATCCATCAATCAGAAAAGAATGTGCAGATCCATACATAGGGTCGATGCATAGGGCCTCTAACTAATAACTAGTACTATATCATTACTGCTTATGCTAGTGATGTACAGAGCCTAAAGAGATAAACTAGCAGCTGCACTTTTCACCTGAGAATTCAAGCCACGCAATTTAATACCTTGCTGTTGCTACACTTGTCGCTGAACAGCTGCTAGCTACTGTTGTCGTCCACAATAGAAAAAGCCAGGCTTGAGCTGTTGCTGCTGAAAAAGACAGTAGGGAAACCCATCAAAAAAGAACATAGTGTTGCTGAAACTACAAAGTTGCACTAAAATGCCTTTACTGTCGAACTCCATGCTTCCCGGGATCTAGCATGTTGCAGAGTTCCGTGAAGACAGCCTACAACAATAACAACAGAGATCTATTAACGCAATCAACGGGATGAACAGATTAACCCCAAATTACACAGAAATCCAAGCTCTTGACGGATTGGGCGCGGATTGCGCAGATGAGGCGACGAACCAGTACGCCCCTTACCTGCTGCATGATGCGGCGCTTGTTGGTGCCTGCGGCAAGCGCCTCGAGGTTGACGATGCGCTTGATGTTGGCCTGCATGTCGTGGACCATCTTGAACTGGACATCGGCCTGTAGGAGCGCGCGCGAGATCTCGTTGAGGCAGTCGTTGAGCACCTTCTCATCGATCACCGTGGCGTTGCTCATCTGCGCCAGGGAGCGGGAGATGCTCCTGCCCAGCTGCGCGAGCACCATCTTACCGGGGCCGAGGTGCTTCCCTTCCGCTTTCCCTGCCGGTGGTGGTGGCTTCCGCGAGTAGGGAAAGAGAGGATTAGGGTTCCGATGGGGAGGCGCCTGAGTTGCGTCGCGTGAGAAGGGGATGGGGAGGAGGAGATACCGGATCTACCGGGTATGGTTCAAGCAATCGATGATTTACCTCAGAGCAGCAGTAGATCTACGTGGGGCGACAAGACCTGGGCGGTGGGCGGTGACCGACGCACGGAGAGCGCAGCTCGGCTCAGATCCAGGACCCTCCCATCTCTTCCCCGCTCCCGCCCTCGCTCTCTCTCCGCCGGCGGAAGAGTTGACCTCGCTCGGCTGCTGTGGAAGCGGAGGTGGGGAGGAAGCGGTCCACAGCGAGGACGGGAGGAGGCGGGTCAGGGAGGAGGCTAGCGACTTGGGCAAAGAGGGGAGGAGTCGAGTAAGGAAATGGTGCAATGGGGAGAGGAGGAGGTGGAGAAAGGTGGACGCAGCCGCCGCGTCCGCTCGCGCCAGGCGTCGCCGCTGCCCTGTCCGCGTCGAGGGAGAGAGGGAGCGAAGAGGAGAGAGACTGAGAGAGAGAGAGAGAGAGGAGGGTGAGAGAATTTTCTGGCCGATATATATACATCGGATATTTGTAGGGGCGGTTGGTGATTTAGCCGCCCCTATAAATAGAACCGCCGGGCGCGGCTGGTGAGTGAGCCGCCCTACAAATCAGACCCATTTGTAGGGGCGGCTCGTATCACCAGCCGCCCCTACTGTTTTATTTATAGGGGCGGCTGATGTCTGGGCTCCCGAGCACGCCACTGTAGGCGCGGCTCTATCACCAGCCGCCCCTACAAAAAATTCATCCTGTTGCTAAAAATCGTTTTTTACGTAGTGACAAGTCGTTAAAATGATCGTGCAACAAGGTGTACATATGTTCCATTGCAAAATATAGATATATTTGACAGTACTACTACAGTACCATCAGTATCAACGAAAACAAATTAAAATCATCAAAAACATTTTTAGTACATAACACCAAGCACTAGACTAAAGGAGCGGGGCTTTGCCATCCTAGGTAATAATGAGAAACTCTTCCATGGCGCTATTTCTCCTTTCATGCTTCTTCAATCTTTGTGGCCTCCCTCTGGGCCTCTTCTGAATGGCTCGACCTCGCTCTTTAGAGACCTCACCAATTGGCGTGCAACCTCTCCTTCCACCCACTTCGGGTCGAGCTTCTTCTTGCCTCAGAGCGGATTTCGGGTTAAACAGTTGATCTTCATAAGGGATCCCAAGAGTCACCCTGCTAATGGTTTGGGCTAGAATGGGTTAAACAATTTGGGTTGTATGTCAATTGGCTCTGGGCTGCAGACAATGGTTTTCACTTGCGTTGTGGGCTGGATTGGCTTGGGGTTAAGGAGGTGGTGGATTTAGCAGGTTTAGTTGGAGTTATGATTTTTCAGGTTCCAGATACATTCCCAACCCATGGGTGCTAATGGGTTCAGGTGAATGGTTTGCATCGCAGCCGATGGGTTGAAACCAAAGGGATCGACAAGCAGGGCGCAAGGGATTGACAAGCAGCAGCAGGGCGGCACTAGTGACGATGAGGTGCAGCACGGCGAGGCGGTGGCCCTGCAGCCCGGCGATTAGGCGCAGCACCTGCCTCAGCCACTGCCGGGACAGCACCTTCAGGTTGGCATGGCTCTCTGCCATGGTCAGTTGGTTACCTCGATGTCCGCCACGTTCGATGGCCTCGATCTCAAAGCAGCAGCAGCAGCGGCGGCAGCGGCATCATCGCTGTCGTCCGCGTCGTCAGCACTATTCCTCTTCCCATCGCGGTGATCTTGTGTCTCGTTGAGTCCTTTGTAGTCCATCTCTCGTCTATAGGTCAAGTAGGACCCGCTTACTACGGAATAGCATACTTTCTTTGTGCTTTTTCTTAGTAATGTCCCTAGTTGAACACTAGAAAACATAGCTTGCCCAAGTTAGAGAAAGAGAACCTTTGTAATCCTCTCTACACTGCTGTTTATCCTTAACCTTGTTGCTACCCCTGATTAAGTTAGATTTAGTTAATCTCATACACGTTTCCTTGGGTTCGATATTCTGTAATACTTTCGGTGAAGTGCTACATCGGTTTCCATGCGTTTGCGGATTAATCTGTGTGCGTCTAAAATATACCAACAACTTTTTTTCCTAGGTTTTATGCTTACCTTTCTAGTTTACCTTGCTAAGATACTTAATAGGATTGGAACCTGTATTGCGTAACTCTTTTGCAGTAGAGATAGCAAAACTATAGTGCACATTTAGATGGATATTTTACATATGTTTGATAAGTTAAAATTAGAGGTTGTGTTTTTTGAGAAAGTCTAGTTCACCCCTCCCATCTTAGGCTTCACGATCGCTTCAAAGACAAATATTCTCCCTATCCATTGGACAAATATGTACAAATTGACTCGGAAGTGTAAATGTTAATTATTGTAACAGTCATTGCAATTGCCAAATGCCTCAGTTAAATTTAATAAACACAAAGATGGAGAAGTTGTTACTGTAATCGTCAATGCATCAGCCACAAGCCAAAGACGAGAGATAATGATCACCATGTTGTCACGAGGAATGGAATAATTCTGACAGATGACGCCTTTCAATCATCCGCTAGAAAGCACGCCGACTATATAGTGCGCAGAGCACAAAAGACCCACCTCCGACGGTTAGCAGCATCCCACAAAATCAGTTAGAGAAGAAATCAGTAGTTTCTATAACACAGGATACTACAAAAAAAATACTGTTTTTCAACACATGGTTTCTATGAGTAATAATTATTTTTTCTTTCTCTCTCTCAACTCTATCTTCTTTCTCCAATGGGAGTGCGACACGAGCTCCCTAGAAACTGGTAGTTTCTCCCCAATAGCGATTTCATGGTTTCTTGGTGCATTGGGTCAAGGGTAGACCTGATTTCTTCATAAGGAAACCATTTCTATGATTTTTGTTCTTTTTCTTCATTAATTACGTTGCCATATCAGCGTTTTGCCTACGTGGCAAGTCATTTAATGATGATAGAAACCATCATCAATACACCATTGGAACTGTCCTTAAAAAATAAAAAGGAATAAAACCAAGTGATGCTGTACGCATGCTTAATGCTAAAATTAGTTAAAGGGATGATCTAATGAGAAATGGGCGATCAATATGTGATGTCGGCTAGCTAAACCCTGGATGTAAGGCACTTCATAGGACACCGAAACCTGGCAATTGGTTGCCAATTTGGACGGCCCGAGTTTGGTTGCTATGATTGACAGATAGTGATTTCTCAGGGGCCTGCTGGTGCGTTGGCAAGTGTCTGCCCCGAATCAGTTAACTCTTGTACCAATTAGTGGACCATGCATGCACTTTTGACCATGCATAATTTGCCACTTATTTCTGAACAAGAACTTGCATTATTGGCACACCAAAGCATACAATATTTGTTTTATTCTCTAATCAGAATTTTTGTCTTATTCTCTTAAATTTGTTAACTGGTAAAATAATCCATCAAATATAAGGAAATAATGTTTTTATGCAATAAATGATGCCTTGTTTAACAAATTTTCTTAGCTATATGTATCTGCATAATATGCCACGACGAAATTATTGGTGTTGAACATGTCATACCTCACCGAAAAAAGAACATCTCGTATGCTATGAGTGTTATCATACATCATATTTATCAACTCGCATATTGGTTCTTCATGCATATATGAATTTAGTAGACTGCCCAAACAAAATGTCAAAACAAAGCCATGGTTATCTCTACAAAGGAAGAAAAACATTTTCTTTTCTTTTCTTTTTTGCGAGTAGAAGAAAAACATTTTCAACCTAGAAAGTCAAAACAGAAACATTTTCAACCTAGAAAGTCAAAACAAAAATTGAAGGGTGAAAATATTTTCAATCATAGATTTTTGAGTAAAAGGCACCATAGGTCCATTAACTTTTAGAGATGTGTCATATAGGTCCATCAACTCTCAAAGTGTATTTCTGGGTCCATAAACTTTTAATGTTGTGTACCGCAGGTCCAAACTCGTTTGGCACCTTGATATTTTTCCATTAAGCCCCCTTTCCTCAATATCTCTCTTAAAAAAAGACCCACCATAGGGCGCGCGTCCGGCGGGCGCAAGGGTGGCTGCGCCGCCAGGCACGTCGTCACTGGGCGTGCGGGCCAGCCACGCCGCCGCCGCGACAGGCTAGCCACGCTGTCGCCGAGCGAGCAAGAATGCGGGCAGGTGGCCGCGCCAGGCAGCCACGGCGTCGCCGGGCGAGTGGGCGGGCAGCCGCGTGGGGCCAGCGCCACGTCGCCGTCGCGCGAGCGGGCAGGCGCGGTCGCACGGCGAAGGCACGCCGATGCCGGGCGACTAGGTGAGCAGCCGCGCGGGACCAGCACCACGTCACCGTCGTGCGAGGGGGCGGCCAGCGCTTCTTGTCTCGTCGTGTCTCATCCTCTGCGTGTCGGACTCGACTACACCATTGACACTTCTGCCTGCCAATCTGTCTGCCGCGCTTGGGAGTTGGGATTACAGCAAGCCCGTCTACGTAGCGGCGCCGGCGTCGCGCAATGACAGAGCCATAGGAGATCTACAGGACCCTGATGCCCTACTTCGCTCTACAACATCTTTAGTTGTCAAGCTCTTCTTCAGTTCTTTTTCGCTTTCTGTATGAAGTGTGTTACTTAGATGTGTAACTTGCTTGATCCACAAAGCTTGCCGTATAAATGATCAAAAATAGATTACGTCATCTAAGATGAACAAACACTATTAGGCATTAGCTTCTTTCAGAGAGTTAACGGAATACCATTCAAAACTGGGATGTCACCATTCAACTACTGATCTTTTTCACTGAACCTTAGCACAAGCAGTTCCTACATAGTACTGATCTTTTTCTGCAGATGTCTGACTGACAGGATTTTTGAAGGTTCTATCAACCTTGCAATGACTGAGTTCACTCGTTATTGCATTTGCCGCAAGAGCTCAGTGCTTGCTCCATGTCCACTGATGACGCGAACCCACCAATGACATTGGGCACCGCACAACCATCATCGCATCTTCTTCGCCCCAGCATCCTAGAAAACTTCTCGGCCTCCTCCATCTCTCCAAGCTTGCCGTATATGCACACCAATGAGTTGCTGACAAACAGGTAGCCACGGACGAGCCCTTCAAAAAGGCATAGGCATGCAGCGTGGTCCACGTCACAGCGTCCGGGAGTGCCCAGCCGCCCAGGCCGCCACCATGCGCGCGAACGCGGCCGAAGCTGCGTCGGGGTCAGTGGGTCACACTCACACCCTCCTCACCGGCACTGCGTCGAACACGTGGCGAGCCTTGCCCGCGCCAACGAGCTCTGGCATACAACAAGGACCTAGCTGGCGCCTGGCGACGTCCAGCTGTCCAGGTGGGCGTGTACGTACGGCGGAGGCGAAGCGCGAGGAACACGCAGCCCTGAGGGCGAGCGGCAGCGTGTAGGAGTTGAGCAGCAGCGGTATGGCCGGCCCTGCGTGACCGCCCGCCCGCTTGCGCAGCGGCGGACATGGTTGGTCCCCCGCGGCTGCCCACCCACTTGTCTAGGCGACGGCGTGGCTGCCCGGCGCGGCCACCTGCCCGCATTCTTGCACACCCGGCTCAGGCTGGCCGGCAGCTCACGCGCTGCGGCGGCATGGCTGGCCTGCACGCCCGGCGACGGGGAGCCTGGCGGCGCAGCCACCCTCGCGCCAGCTCGCCCGGACGATGGCGTGCCTACGGTCTCGGTGAGGGCTCTTTTGAGAGAGAGAGAGATTGATTTGAGAGAGAGAGATTGAGGAAAAGGGGCTTAATGAAAAAATGTCAAGCTCCCGTACAGGTTTGGACCTGCGGTGCACAGCATTAAAAGTTTATGGACCAAAAAATATACTTTGACAGTTGATGGACCTATATGACACCTCCCTAAGAGTTAATGAATATATGGTGCATTTTACTCTAGATTTTTTAATCTTGGCAAACCCTACAGAAACTGCAACAATAGCATGGGTGGTTCACTAATAGCAAGAGTATAGGCCACCTTTAACGTTTTGCATTTTTTTTGTTATAATTAACTGTCTTATTATACTACTGAAGAAAAAACAATTAATTTACATAATATCACTCTACATATTTTTTTTGTTGATGAAGGATGATTTTAATGAATTTTCAAGCACATTACATTGAGTTTATACAAAGCCCTCTCTGGCCTCATATATGTTAGTGACAAGTTAGGGTTGAGCCCATGTGCAAAGTGTACACACCAATTGGTATATATAATTTTTCCACGTCCTTTGCTGCACCATATTCTGGGAAATATGGCATTACCTGGTGATGCCAAGGATGCATTACAATTGAACATCCAGCATGCATAAACGATCTACGTTCATTCATCATACAATGGGAAGAGTCACATAACACTATGAAGGTCTTTTTCATAATGGATTGTGAATGAAAGAATTGTGTTGTCTACTTATATAAATTATCGATATTGGCGGTCAATGTTTTTTAAAAAAAATGAGAGTTAGGAAAAGCGTGTCATTATGTTCATGATCACGAAGTATTTATTACAAACTGGTACGGAATAATGTGCGGTTTATTGTTGGTGTCTTCAAAAGTATATGCAGCCAAAGAAGTTTGCCTCCACCCCACAACCCACCCAACCCAAGCCTGTCATTTAGTCAACCTCGGCATAAA